GGTGAGTTCAATCCATTTACATTTAGAGTGATAACTAATATGTAAGGACTTACCACTACCATTTTATCTTTTGCTTTCTGGTTATTTTGTATCTCTGTTATTTCTTTCTCCTTGTGTTTCTACCTTTTAAAATTGGTGGTTTTCCATAATGGTTAGGTATGTTTCGCCTCTTTTTAAAAAAATTTTGTTAGTTAACATACAGTGCAATATTGGTTTCTGGAGTAGAATTCAATAATTCATCACTTACATACAACACCCAGTGCTCATCATAACAAGTGCGCTCCTTAATACCCATCATCCATCTAGCCCATCCTCCATCCACCTCCCTCCATCAACCCTCAGTTTGTTCTCTATAGTTAAAAGTCTCTTATGGCTTGTTTCCCTCTCTCCTTTTTTACTTTTCCCCTTCCCATATGTTCATCTGTTTTCTTTCTTAAATTCCACATATCAGTGAGATCATATGGTATTTGTCTTTATCTGACTGACTTACTTCGCTTAACATAATACACTCTAGCTCCATCCATGTTGTTGCAAATGGCAAGATTTCATTCTTTTGATGGCTGAGTAATATTCCAGTGTGTGTGTGTGTGTGTGTGTGTGTGTGTGTGTGTGTGTGACCTCTTTTATCCATTCATCAGTCGATGGACATTTGGGCTCGCTCCATAGTTTGGCAATTGTTGATAATGCTGCTTTAAACATCTGGGTGCATGTAACCCTTTGAATGTGTATTTTGGATCCTTTGGGTAAATACCTAGTAGTGCAGTTGCTGGATTGTAGGGTAGTTCTATTTTCAACTTTCTGAGGAACCTCCAAACTGTTCTCCAGAGTGGTTGAATCAGTTTGCATTTCTTCTGAGGCAAAGATAAAGAGCCTTGCTACTGGATCAAGGAATAGGCATTAATAGGCAATGAGTCTTTGATGTGTGCCAGGTTGTTGAGTTAATACTTTTAGACCATGGCCTCCCCTTTTGTGTACTTTCATTCAAAGAAAGGTTTATTATGATTTGGAAGATCAGCAAAGATGATTGTTGAAGAAATATTTTGAGATTACTGAAGGTGTTTTTGGTTTCTGTGTTTTGTGAGAATGGTTCCCAAGATGTTTGATTAAGTTAAATCATACAGAGGCCTATTTCAAAAGAGCTTGCTGTGTATACTCTACAACATCCAACTAATTCCAGAAATTATTTCGTTGTCCTTAGTGTTTGGCCTTGGATAATTCTGGGTAATTTGTAATCTCTCATTAGATTATGTCCTTCCACAACCAATATATCATGGCCTAGATCAAGTTTCGGCAAACAGTGGCTTGCTGTCCAAATCCAGCCACTGGCTATTTTTACACAGCCTGTGAGCTAGTAAAAGTGGCTTTTTACATCCCTACATGGTTGAAAAAATCGAAAGAAAAATACTACCATGAACTGTAATAATGATATAAAACTCAAATTTCTGGGTCAATAAATAAAATTTTATTGGTATATAGCCATGCTTATTCACTTACGGATTGTCTGTTGCTGTTTTTACAGCATAATAGAGTTGAGTAGTTGTGGCAGAGACTGTATGTCTTACAGAGTCAAAAATATTTAGTATCTGGCCCTTCACAGAGTAAGTTTGCTGAGCCCTGGATAATGAGTTGTTATTTTGTAGAACTATAATTTCTTTTTAGAAGCTCTATGAATATATAGTTGATCTTACAATTTCAAGATGCATTACTGTATATCCTTATGATCTTGGTTTAAGATTTGAGATAAGTAGGATGGGGGCTTCAGTAAATGTCTGAAGCATAACTTTCCAGGTAAATTGTTGATTGTTCCTTGGTGAGGGCAGTGAATATTGGCTATCTTCCTCAGCTAAAACATGAAAGAAAGACAGGGCCAAAGAGAATACATTTGGGTTAGGCAATACTAGAAAACGAGATATAACTCTTTGGTAAATAGCTTACAGATGTTAGATGAATTGGTATCCTTTACCATCACAGTTTTGGGTTGTTGTTTTTTTTTTAAACAGACATTTTGCTTGGACTAATGTGAGGGATACTTAATCCTTGTTGTATCAAAAGTCTGTTACAGTTGGCTTAGATCTTCCTTAACTTCAGCATTAAGAGGTTTTTAGGCAATGGTGTCAACAGAGTCAGTCTGAACCCTTACGGGTTTGACTCCCAATTATTCTATCTTTTCCCAGTGGTTCTGGTACCACGGCCAATTATTTGGTTGTTGTTTGACTCAAGTGTACTAATGTCCATAACCATAATTTGGTAATGTGTAGTAGAATTTTCTGCAACTCCTGAAAATATTTTGTCTGTGGTATATTTCTTTTGGTGGATCTTTTTTGCAGAGTAGATTCCTAATGATGCAATTTATAGGAAAGTGCCATGGAGAAGGAAGGAGTGTTCTTCTGACAAAAATAACAGTTACAGGTTGGGATGTTGAAAAGGGTTTAAGATTGTTAGAAACTCCCACTACTTCAGTGGTTTCAGTACTTTGAACGATCTGATTTTTCATGGTAGTAGAATTAATAGTAAAGGTAGTGGCACCTGTATCAACAGGAAGTTGTGTGGTTGTTCATCTATATTTACAGACAGTTCTCTTCAGAACTGTATGTTGAGTGGTAATGTTTCCCTTTAAGTGGCATTATTGGGCAGATTTTGGAAAATTGTTGTATTTCTTACCAATATGGTGCATTGGATGGTCCTACTTGTAATTTCTCTAAGCATAAGCATAGAGAACTGAGGACTCTTTAGTGTTGTTTTTATTTGAGGAACCAGGTGTTTCATGTGGAGAACCAGAAGTTTGTTTTCATTTCTAGCTTGTTACTTCCTAGGGCTTTTTTGAAAATGTTCAACCATATGTTGGAGATAGTCTAAACTGGCTGTGTCCCGTTCCAGTTTTTTTTTTTTTTTCTCACTAAGTCCCCTATTTTATATACCCCTCCCCCAGAAAAGGCTCAATGTACTTCTGCTGTTAGAACTATCCCATGGGGCGCCTGGGTGGCTCAGTTGGTTAAGCGACTGCCTTCGGCTCAGGTCATGATCCTGGAGTCCCGGGATCGAGTCCCACATCGGGCTCCCTGCTCGGCAGGGAGTCTGCTTCTCCCTCTGACCCTCCTCCCTCTCATGCTCTCTGTCTCTCATTCTCTCTGTCTCAAATAAATAAATAAAATCTTTAAAAACAAAAGAACTATCCCATAATATTATTTAAAGCTACCCCATAATACTATTTAAACCCCAAATACTGGAATCTAGTTTTAAATTCTCCTCTTGTTTAATTTATCCTTAAAGGAAAGGCTTTATAAATGTCCTTGTACAGTGCATTTCCTATTCTTTTTGCCCATTCAGGGACATTTTTAAAATTATGCACAGCTGAGTTATTTAAGTTCTGTCTTGGTCTTTCCCATTCTTTTAATAATTTTCCCCACATGAAGGTCTAATAATTAAGTGAATCAGTTGGTCTAGATTTGGTAGAATCTAACAATATATTAAATTTTGAAGCACATGTTCTCTTTTCCTGAGGATTAAGAAAACCCTTAATAATAGACCTCAGCTCAGATCTAGACCGTGGTTTAACTTGACTTCTATGGCCTGACTCCTGTTCTAGCATGAGGATACTGTACAAGATGATAATTTCTTTGCTGAGAAGAAGGAGGTCAGGGGAAGGGGAGGAAATAGGGTAAGAATGAGAACAAAGAAAGTTATGTAGGAAAAAGAGATTACTTGCCTCTTGAGAAAAGGACCCATGTCCTGTTTCCTTCTTAGAAGTAGCCTTTTATCACTGACTTCACCTACAAATGATCTAAAATGGGCAAATGATTATAAAAGTAGTCCTCTATTAAATTTAATATAGCTAATATACATATGGACTGATGTGTAAAATGAAATGCTGTGTATTGCAAAGAAAATATGACAGTTCCTGCCATAAGGGAGGTACAATCCAGTAGAGGCAGTAGGGAGTGAGGGAACTATTGTGAATTCTGCACTTTTCCATGTACTAGACATGCTTGTAGATGCTGTAAATTTTTATTGTATTTAATATTCAAAATAATCCTGAGAAATACATAGATTACTTCTCTCCTCCCCCATTTTATAGTTTGGGCAATGAAGACTCTGAGAATATAAATGGTTTTACCAAGGTTACACAGCAAGACACCTATGAAACCAGGACTTGAATCTGGTCTAAGACATAAACAAGTAGAAAGCAGAATGAAACATACAACTGAGGCATAAAAATGAGCCTTTGCAGTTTAATACCATCAAAGTCTCTTTAGTTCAGGAATATTTAAGGAAGGCTTCACGAAGGAGGTAACATTTAAGCTGGGCTTTGTAGGTTTAGGAAGGTGGAGGGGCGCCTGGGTGGCTCAGTCAGTTAAGCGTCTGCCTTTGGTTCAGGTCATGATCCCAGGGTCCTGGGATTGAGTCTCGAGTCTGACTCCCTGCTCAGTGGGGAGTCTGTTTCTCTCTCTCCCTCTGCCTCTTCCCTCTGCTTGTGCTTTCTCTCTCTCTCTCTCTCTCTCTCTCTCAAATAAATAAATCTTAAAAAAAAATAGATTTTAACAGGTGGATTCGTCAAGGAAAGCCAATGAGTGATAGAGCTGGGATTGAATCCAATTTAATCTGAAGCCAAAACCTATTTTCTTTCCATTGCATAAAACTAGAATAGTGAGAGCAAATGTGGGAAGCCAGTGTGACTTTTATAAAAAGAGATTTTATTACCTCAAGTTGTAGAAAAAAAGCTGAAAAGGAAGGTCAAGACAAAAATATGAAGGACCTTTGGTGCAAGCACATGTTCTACAGTGTAGAAGAAATCATTCCAAATGCCATAATTACCTATGAAGATTACATTTAATTTCTCTTCTTGGCAACTCTTATCTCAGGACCAGTATCTCAGAGGGTCTGGTGGGTTGAATGATAATGGAGCAAAAGGGAGGTAGGTCTGGGTGTGGGGCTATACAGCAGGAAAATTGGAAATTGCTTTTGATAGGAGCCAATGTATTCTTTGATGTATTTGTTTTTAGTCGAAACCATTTTACAAAATGAAACCCCTATCAAAGGCTGATCGTGAAAAAGCAGAAAATCAGACGATTCCAAAACTAACCGATTTATTGGAACTTGCACAGAAGGAAAGAAAATTTGTGATATTTGATCTTAATGCCCCTCCACAAAAACATCCTCTCAGAAACACATTTATTCGTCATGTAGTAAGCGTGATCCTTGACTCTAAAATTGAGCAACATCTGGTATGTCTACCTCATTATTTATGGTAGAGTTTGGGAGGTGGGTAGCATGTCCCAGGAGCATAGCAGTTGAACTTGACCTACCCTGTAGATCTTCCCTGAGATGCCCAAATAATTTTACTATCTGTAGAAATGGAGGTTATTACTTAGATAGCTACATATGGCAATCTAAGAATGACCCAGTTAAATTTTCCCCAGTGGGGGAAAACATGGCAGCTGTTTGCTACTCCAAACCAAATGAAGTAACAGCACTCTGTTAAAAAGGCATGAGTGTAATGATTATGTGATGTGATCTGCACCATCACTAGCATAGAACTATTAGAAGGGGCTTGGGAAACACTGAAGCTTTGAGGATTTGGCTTTAATTAATGATACAGAAGAAACAGCAGGTTCTTATTTGAGCAGAGATTTGTTCATGTTTTTCAGAAGCAATTCTCTGCGCTTGAGCTATCATTCCAAATCTCTTAAGTTCTCAGAATGTGGTAGAGTGCTCAGTGAAACAAATATGTGTTTTCTTGCAAACGGAACTATTTCCACAGATGAATCATTAAAGTATTCCCCATTGACAGGAAATGACCCCTTTCAAAGATGATTTTTAGTGTCATCAACCAGAAGAAATATGATTCCTACCTTTCATCCACACCTACCAACTCCTCATCCACTTTGGCTAGTGTGAAGCTATCTGAACACAATGGGCCTTTGACTCAGCATGTTAACTCTCAGTTCCAGAACAACCTTGCTGAATGGCCCCATTGTAAGAGTTCATTAGACGGTATTAAGCCAAGTTCACTTTCACCAAGAACTAGAATCTCTCTCCACTACCTATAGACTGTTACCAATGCTGGAATGAGGCTCCGTTTATTCTACCTGGGGCTCTTTGTACCTGGAGAGCTGATTATCCACTGAAAGACTTCCTTTTTCACCTTACAGATTTTTTGGTTGCCAAATTTCGATAGGCAGTATGTCAGAAACGCAGCTCCTGGTTTTCAGCAAGTGGGCCGGTTATTTTCCATTGAACATCTTACAAAAGAAAATATCAGTAGAATAAATGTTGACTACAAGAGGTTGTTCCACAATGGGTTGAGGTAAGAGTTTGACCACACTTCTCTTGGCAGGTATTGCCCTACTTGCATAAAATCTGCACTCCCACCAAGCTCCTTAGCTTCTCCTTCTCATCTCAGGATTACTTTGTATATCTCTTTTTGGAATCCCCTATTTTCCCCTCTTCCTCTTCCCACCCTATCTTCCTCCCTCCCTCTGCCAGCAAACATTTATCAAGTGTAGACTATGTCCCTTGAACATAGTCTTCAGCCCCTTCTCTTCATTTCCAATCTGTTATCATTCAACACGCTTTTTTTCATGCTTGGTGGTTTTGTTCTTATATAAGGTGATCATTGAACAGTCAGAAATCAGGAAATTGTTTATTTCCTCCTGCCATTATCAGATGGAATGCAGTACTTCATAAATAGCTTTGTGGTCCAGAAAGCCAGATTTATTATAAGGATAATTAAGAACATAACTAAATCATTTAAAAAAAAAACCTTAAAACAGCCAAGCATGAGAAGAAACTAAAATTATTAGCTACATTTATAAATATGTAATTAGTGACAGATTTTTCAAATTAAAAGCACCAGGGAATAAAATGGCAACTTTTCCAAACTTAACTATTATTAATCACTGCTTAATTTAATCCATATTTCCTTTCTCTTAGTTTTAAAAGTAAATTTTTTCAGATGATTTTAAATGCTTCAAAGACAGAGTTTTCCTTGGAGAGATATATATCCAAAATCTCCTTGGGCTTAATAAAAATTCCCACTAGATACCTTTCTGCATCTCAAGCCATGAACTAAGCTGTTGGATTTACTTCTGCTCCTGTTCTCACTTTTCCTGCCTCTCTGGCCATGTGGTGGTTGATCATGAAATACTGTCTTTTTTCTTTTAACAATGTTTTACTTCTATTTCCCAATCAGAAGATTTCTCTTTGCTTAACTGCTACTTCTATTTTGAGTGTATTTCTCTTTCCTTTTACTTTTTTCAAATAGAAAATAGCTCTATGATGGATGTCCCTCTCTCCTACTCATAATTTAGATCAATCTAGTAGTTGAAAAATAATTATAACAGCTTCCATTTATTGAACCTTTATTATGTGTCAAGTTCTATGGTTGTTAGACCACAGGCTCTTTTTCACATCATGGCCTACTCATCAGCTACACACACATGACCTTGGACAAATTTCTAATCGTCGGTTTTCTCATTTGTAAATTAAGAGTAGCAATAACCTGGGGGGAAAAAAGAATAGCAATAACATAGATGGACTGGTGAAAAGATTAGATGAGAATATTCTTCATATTTTGCACATGCAGAATGCTGGGCAAGTGTAAGTACACAATTAAGTGTTAGCTGCTGCTTTTATCATCACCATCCTTACATGCTATGCCCTGGAAATTATCACTATCCCTTTTACAAATGAGGAAACTTGCCTCTAAAGAGGAAAAGTTCAAACAGGCTAGGTAATTCACCAAAATTGATATACTTGGTCAGTAGGGGACCAAACTTAGATTTATTTTTTTTAAGATTTTGTTTATTTATTTGAGAAAGAGAGAGAGCGCACAAGCAGGAGGGAGGGGCAGAGGGAGAAGCAGGCTCCCCACTGAACAGGGAGCCCAATATGGGGCTCAATCCCAGGACCCTGGGATTATGACCTGAGCCGAAGGCAGCCACTTAACCGACTGAACCACCCAGGCTCCCCCAAACTGAGATTTAAATATAGGTCTGACAGAGTCCAGAATCCAAATTCTTTCATCGTAGGTCTTTAAAGTTATTTCTTGGCTACAGTTATATGGGCATAGTTTCAACTGGCATCAAATTTGAGAGGGATCGTATCCTGAGTCCTATTATAAAGTCAAGCAGTTTAATTTAGCTCAGCAAATATTTGCTGAGTAATAATATGTACAAGTGCACCTTGCTAGTTTTATGTGAAAAGTCAGAAGCAAGGCAACAGCCTTTTCCTTAAGGAAACCATGTATTCTAATAAGGACAATAAGGGTTTTTCTGTATAGCTATACTGCAAAGCTGACTGTGATAAATTCATGTGTTGTACATTATTCCAAGTCCTCCTCCTCAAGGACCACTACATTTTAAGAAATTAAGTAGTTGTACCTTAAGTTATTTGTATAATGTTTATGACCAGAATATTTGTAATTATGATCACATTTCCAATGCATTCTCTGTGATTATGCTCACTTCATAGTCTATCTGACCACTGTCACAAGATATTGTGACCCTGCCATTTTGACTGAGAATGCTTTAAATACATTATTTTAATCAAAATTATCTGAATATAGAGATGCCCTATGCTTTATTTCTGATGTGGGAATTTTTATAACTTAATTTTAGGGGTGCCAGGGTGGCTCAGTCGGTTAAGCATCTGCCTTTGGCTCAGGTCTGGCTCCCTGCTCAGCAGGGAGCCTGCTTCTCTCTCTGCCCTTCTCTCCTGCTCTGCTCTCTCTCCCTATCTCTCGCTCTCTCTCAAATAAATAAATAAAACCTTAAAAAAATAAATTCTAGTTAGTTAACATATAGGGTAATATTGGTTTCAGGAGTAAAACTTAGTGATTCATCACTTACATATAACACCTAGTGCTCATCACAAGTGTCCTCCTTAATACCTATCACCTATTTAGCTTATCCCCCACCCACCTCCCTCCATCAACCCTCAGTTTGTTCTCTATAATTAAAAGTCTATGATTTGCTTCCCTCTTTTTTTTCCCCCTTCCTCTATATTAATCTATTTTGTTTCTTAAATGGCACATATGGGTGAAATTTGGCAAATATGGAATTTGTCTTTCTCTAACTTATTTCACTTAGCATAATGCACTCTAGCTCCATCTGTATCATTGCAAATGGCAAAATTTCATTCTTTTTGATGGCTGAATAATATTCCACTGTGTGTGTGTGTGTGTGTGTGTGTACACACACCCCACATCTTCTTTATCCATTCATTAGTCAGTGGACATTTGGGCTGTCTCCATAGTTTTGCTATTTTTGGTAATGCTGCTATAAACATGAGGGTGCATGTACCCTTCTGAATCTGTATTTTTGTATCCTTTGGGTAAATACCTAGTAGTGCAATTGCTGGGTCATAGGGTAGTTCTATTTTTAACTTCTTGAGGAACCTCCATACTGTTTTCCAGGGTGGCTGCACCAGTTTTCATTCCCAGCAACAGTACAAAAGTTTCCCCTTTCTCCACATCCTCACCAACATCTGTTGTTTCCTGAGTTGTTAATTTTAGCCATTCTGACAGGTGTAAGATAGTATCTCACTGTGGTTTCGATTTGTATTTCCCTGATGCCGAGTGATGTTGAGCACTTTTCATGTGTCTTTTAGCCATCTGTGTACTTTTCTTTGGAAAAGTGTCTATTCATGTCTTCTGCCCATTTCTTAACTGGATTATTTATTTTTTGGGTGTTGAGTTTGATAAGTTCTTTTTAGGTTTTGGATACTAACCATTTATCAGATATGTCATTTGCCAGTACATTTTGATAGTAGAAATTTTTATTTTTCCTCTTTTCCTTGATCAGTCTTGCTAGGAGTTAGTGAATTTTATTAATCATTCCAAAACACCCAATTTTGGCTTTGTTATCCTTTTTCTATTGAACATTTGCTTTCCCATTTCACTGATTTCTGTTCTTTATTATTTTCTTCTTCTACTTAAAGTTTAATTTGCTCTTTATTTTTTTTATTTGTAGCATCTTTATGTTTGAGTTTTAGATATGACAATAGGAACATAAGCCTTCTTATGAACATAATATAAAGCTGGAATTAGATATAGAGTTTAAAATAGTAAGTATGTTAGTGAATAATTCCAAATGTAAAATACTCACCGGGGCAACTGGGTGGCTCAGTCGGTGAAACGTCCAACTCTTGATTTCAGCTCGGGTCATGATCTCAGGATCATAAGATTGAGCCCTGCATTGGGCTCCTTGCTCAGTGGGGAGTCTGCTTGAGATTCTCCCTCTCCCTCTGCCCTTCCCCTCACTTGTGCTTGCGCTTGCTTGCTCTCTCTCTAAAATAAATAAATCTTTAAAAAAATAAATAAATCTTTTTTAAAAACTAAAAATACATACTATATAATAATACTCTAATAAATGTATACTTAAGTTTTTTCAAATCTTAAAGTGTAGAATAGATAGTATATATCTGGCCTCATAATTTACTTTTCTCAAAACATTTTTTTATTGAAGTATAGTTGACACACAATGTTACTTTAGTTTCAGGTGTACAACATAGTGATTCCACAACTCTACACATTATGGTATGCTCACCACAAGTGTAGCTACCATCTGTCACCATATAAGGCTATTACAGTATCATTGGCTGTATTCCCTATGCTGTACCTTTTATCCCCATTTCATAACTGGAAGCCTGTATTTCCCACTCCCCTTTACCTATTTTGCCCAGGCCCCCCAACCCCATCCCCTCTGACAACCATCAGTTCTATTTATAGGTCTGTTATTGTGTTGGTTGGTTTCTTGGTTGGTTATTCATTTACTTTGTTTTTAAGATTCCACAGATAATTGAAATCATATGGTATTTGTCTTTCTCTAACTTACTTCACTTAGCATATTTTCTAAGTCCAGCTATATTGCACATAGCAAGATCTCATTCCTTTTTATGGCTGAGTAATATTTCACTGTATATAAATATACCACATCTTTATCCATTCATCTTTTCATGCTGCTTCCATCTTTTAGGCTGCTTCCATATCATGGCTATTGTAAATAAAGCTTCAATAAACATAGGGGTGCATATATTTTTTTGAAATAGTATTTGTTCTCCTTGGGTAAATATCCAGTAGTTGAATTATTGGGTCTTACAGTATTTCTATTTTTAATTTTTTGAGGAACCTCCATACAGTTTCCCACAGTGGCTGTACTAATTTATCCCACCAACTATGCACTGGAGTTCCTTTTTTTACACATCCTCACCATTCCTGTTACTTCTTGCCTTGTTGATACTAGCCATTCTGACAGGTGTAAGGTGATGTCTCATTGTGGTTTGATTTGCATTTCTCTGATGAAGAGT